ATAACGTTAAATCAAGTATGGATTGTTACTAAATAATCAATATCACATTAATGATATTGCTGAAATTAACCAATAAACACAAGATTGTTTGAAAGTTTGTACAGATATCTTATTAGCTATTAGATGAATCCTGTGGCCATTTGTCCTAAAATGATATTTATAATTCGTAGCAAAATGAGAAAGTCCTCCTTTTTTTTTTTTTTTTCTAGTCAGATAAAATTGATATAAATACTAAATATTCTTTAAGGTAAGAATATACGGATAATCATTTCAATTTTAAGAGACATTTGGCAAAAGATCATCCAATTATTAAATTTTATGTTTTAAATCACAAGCATTTGTATAATTCATTTTGGTTACGGTACCATTTATACTAACTATTTTTTATGATGTAGACATACATATAATCATTGATAGACCTATATAAAGGGTGAGTTATTCGTCTAAATTTTAAAAGTTTGTTTAAAATTTTAGAAGATTTGAACATAATTATTAAGTTAATTAAATGAGTTTAGATTTAAATTTAAGATTCGGTTTAGAAAATGGACAGACCTTGAGTATAACATTTAAGGTTCACATTCTGCTTTTCTCGAATAACTTATATATTATAATATATATTTTATAGTATAATTATATTAAAGGAAAATAAATAGACAATTAAACTAGTATAAGTGTACACATTAATACTTATGTCAACATTTACCAAATTAATCCAAACAAATTAATATCCATGTGATTTTTTAGGTTTTATTTTGTTGATTATTTATTTTTGATAATTAATATTTATTATAAAATTTATTTTTATTTAAAAAATTAAATTTGAGCGATCTTAGGCAAACTTGGATAATAAATGAGGTCTATATATATTTTAGTTCAAACCAAGCTTAGGCAAATCTAAAGGTTATTGGTATCCTGTCGAAGCTCAACTTGAATTTGACCCAACTCGACTTACGTACAAGTCTAACCATTGGCATCATGAGTGACAATCAGCATTTCATTAAAAAACTAATTATGGTTGGTGACCAAACATAACACTTATACAAATATTATGATTAAATCATTAATTTCATAGCTCGATGATCACAATAAAAACTCATCCAATGTTAGACGACTATCCCTGTATTTTACCTCTATTCTTTAAAGATGATTTTTGTTGCCAATTAAGTCAACCTGCAGCTGGATGCAGCTGCTTCAACTCTATCAAGTGTTTGCTTAATTTACACTCTGAAGTAGGAACATAATTTGACAATTTTTTATTTATAATTCATATACGTCAATAATTTTGGCGAATTCTGGGGAGGAGTTAACTCTCCACAATTAATTATTTTTAACTTGATTTTATTTTTTTCCACAATGATATGTGCATTAACATATTTAATGAAATAAATATTCAATTTTGTTTAGGTATATAAGTACAGCTGTAGGGAATTTTATTAAATTCAAATTCCTTCAATGAGACAATAAGAACATGAGTCTCGTCTTTGTTTTTTTTTTTTTTTTTAAATAAAAAATCGTAATTTAAAAATATAAATTTGTTGAATGTTATTTTTTAAATATGATGACATAAATAATTGAATTAAACATCTTTTGAAGATGATTGAGATAACAAGTGCACTCTCGTATAATTAACAAATTTGTTCAACTAATCATCAGTCATTATTACAAATTAAATATGATAATTGGTTTCAAAAAATAAAAATATGATTAGGTTTAGGCCAATTTCAAAACAAAAATGACAGGTTCCTATTCTATTTGGTAAATATAGTGACAGTTACAATTTAGATATATTAAATTTTAATCTTGAAATAAAAGAAAAGGAAATATTTATATGAAAAAAGTGTGTAGGGTTACACTTATTTCAGATTACGCAGTCCAAAATATTAAAATGGGGAGACGTCTTGATCTATCTCGTAACAATATACTGGAAAAATTTGCTTTAACTGATAAAATAAAAATGGACTGCAATGAATCGTCGAGAGCTGAATATTGCAAACTACAGTTTAATTTGTGGTTTGTAGGTTTAATTTTGTAATGCCATATAATTTGTTAGGGCATGTAGTGGCCGATCTTGTGAGAACCAAAATTAAAATTTAAAAGTGCCATGGAATTTAAAATCACATAAATTTCTAGAGAATGGGTACGATTTTCTCTCTGACTGCTTCAAGGTTCACACACAAAGGTGTAGCAGGAGCAAGTAGGGTGTCACATCCTCAACAAATAATATAACGTTGAGATCATGTGGAGGTAAATTATTGGAGGTTTCGCATATAGACCATTTTAAAATTCTTTCGGATATTGGAGAGCTTACTATATAAACCGCAAGGCGACCATTGTAGTTCACAAAATAGGAATAGAAATAGTCATTGATTTGTCTAGCGTTGAAGTGCAAAGTAGTGGGAGTTTTGGTGCCATCTTCTGCCCAAAATGGCCAAGGTTTGGCCACACCTAGCCTATGCCTTGGCATTGTGCTTGATAATCAACAATGTAGCTGCCGACTATGAGCCTTCCTATGTACCACCTCCATACGTATACAAGTCACCTCCACCACCTCCGTACGTGTACAAGTCACCTCCACCTCCTCCATATGTTTATAAGCCACCACCACCTCCTCCTTACATATACAAGTCACCTCCACCTCCTCCATATATTTATAAATCACCACCACCTCCTCCATATGTGTACAAGCCACCTCCACCTCCTCCATATGTGTACAAATCACCCCCACCTCCTCCATACGTTTATAAGTCACCTCCACCTCCTCCTTATATTTACAAGTCACCTCCACCTCCTCCATATGTGTACAAATCACCCCCACCTCCTCCATACGTTTATAAGTCACCTCCACCTCCTCCATATGTATACAAGTCACCACCACCCCCTCCATATATGTACAAGTCACCACCACCTCCTCCATATGTCTACAAGTCACCACCACCCCCTCCATATATGTACAAGTCACCACCACCTCCTCCATATGTCTACAAGTCACCTCCACCTCCTCCATATGTTTATAAGTCACCACCACCTCCTCCATACATATACAAATCTCCTCCACCTCCGCCATATGTTTACAAGTCGCCACCACCTCCCCCACATTACAAGTAACCTCCACTCTATCTCCTCGACTAAAGGCCCCCTTATATCCACAAGTTTCCACCACCGCCATTACCATCACATCTTTCTCCTTAAACTACTCCACCATTTTCTTCTCCACCTCCTCCCTCTCCTTTGGACAATAAATCACCACCTCCTCCTTACTATGTGTATTACTATTTCTACTTGGTTAAAGGAAGCCTAATTATTTAATAATTCAGAAGCAGTTCTTTATGCAGTTTCACTATCATTTCCTTTACCTAAGATTGATGTATGTGGTTATTGTTGAAGTCATAAGAGAAAGCATATTGCTAAAGGAAGTCATCCGTTGGTTTCTCGCATGCCCTATGATTACTCCGACCTGAGGGTAGAGGATTTGCTTATGTTCTCTAGAATATATATTTATGATTTTATATCGTCACGTGTTCTTGCATCAATTTATGGTTATTGTGTGCTTATATACCAAGATAAAAAAATGTAATTTGAAGTCTCAATTCCAATTCCAAATTCTATCCATCTCTATATTTCTGATCTCTTGCTCGGGCAATCGCTATGATTAATACAAACATTCAAATTGCCAAAACAACTTGGTTTATCGAATCAAAGAAACTAGTTAAATAAAAAAAAGAGTTGCCTAAAGCTTTGTGCATTAATTCTAGATGCTTTTCTGATAATGACAGATAAACCAAATATGTTTGTGGCAAAGCGTAAGCCAACAAATATCTGTGATTACGGTAGAAACATGAGTCAGTTTATATATATATAGGTATATATATACACACACACATATATATATATATATATATGTGCTTGGAAGCAGTTAATGAATAAAAATAAAAAAATTAATTAAATTACTTGCCGAGACTACTATGATATAATAAGAGAAGAAAATAACAAACAGCTTACAGCTCATAGGAAGCAACAGCAACTGAAAGTTTCACCTCGTCATTACTCTCTTCTTGCAAAACCAACTTAGTGTGTGCAGCATCAATACTTATATGCCAATGATTATTATTTTTGTATCTAATATAAGATTAAAGCATTTTATCTACTCCTTTAGAGCGCTTGGTGGAACACAATCAACAGCAGCCAACAGCAGCCACCACGACCAAGTCAGTAAGCAGCAGCAGGCTAAGTCAAAGCTTGGCTTATTTTGTAAATTTAAGTTAGTTTAAAATATAGATAACTATAGTTTAAATTCAAAAATATTAAATGAGATAAGCTAACTTCATATCTCCCGTACTTTGTACATATTCGTACACCGTGATTAATGAAAAACAAGTTCAAACACAAAAACTTCATTTCTGTTATAAAAAATTCATCTTCATATCATAACCCGTTATTGTTTGTTGGTTCATCAATAACATTTAAGGCCAATAACCAAACAAGACGATCAGTTTGTTGACCAAATAATTTTCAAAACAAACCTTCTCCAGTTAAATTTATTTAAATCTAAGTTTAATAGAAGGTTAGCGTGTTCTATATATGGGTTAATAATCAATGGAGTTGCACTTAAAACTGCCCCAGTTTACTACATCCAAATAATTTTAAAAGCATATTGCTCCAACTAATATATATTTTATTATTTTTCCCTCTGGCATCGCAGGTTAGGACATGTTTCTTGTAGCTAGTGGCAAGTTAGGTTATGTTAAGTCATAAATATCCAATAATTGTATCACCTGCAAACTACCAAAACAGTCTGTTTTACCTTTCAATAAAAGTGAGTCAAGTTTTTTTTCTTTCTTTTGATCTTGTTCATTCTGATGTGTGGTGCCCATCTCGTTTACCTACTATGAGGGGTTTTTGTTATTATGTTATTTTTATTGATGATTATTTGAGGTACACTTGGATTTATTTGTTTCGGCATTATTCAAATTTGTTTAAAATTTATCAAGATTTTTATGCTATGATCAAAACACAGTTTTCTAAAACAATTAAATGTTTTTGTGCTAATTCTACTAGGAAATATCAATCAAGTAATTTAAAAGAGTTTGTTGCTTCTTAAGGTACTCTTCTTGAATCATCTTATACTAATACACCACAGCAAAATGGTGTTGTTGAAAGAAAACATCATCATATCATGGAAACCACTAGTCTTGTTGTTATCTTCATTGGTTTCTAAGAAATTTTGGGGGGAAGCTGCACTTACTTCAGTTAATGTTATTAATCATATTCCTTTTTCTGTCATTAGTGGAATTTCTCCTTTTGAACATTTGTATAACAATACTCAATTATTTTGAGCTTCATATTTTTTGTTTTACATGGTTTGTTTCACTTTCCAAAGTTCAATGTAATAAATAATCTTGAAAAACTACCATTTGTGTATTTTTAGGTTATGGTATTGGACAAAAATGATATCATTGCTATGATCTTATTGCAAAAAAAACTTCGTGTTTCCCAGCATGTTACTTTTTGGGAAATTATTCCAATGTATTCATTGCCTCATTTTCAAAAATCTACCAATGATCTTCATGAGTCTTGTCTTTTTTTTTTTGATAATTTTGTTGATTTAAATTACTTTAATCAATCTTCTCATATGTTTCAAAGTTCTCCAACTCTTCAGCAGATTCATCCAAATAAAGCTTGTCCCATCACTGACTCTATCATAAGTAATACTTCACCACCATTGTCTAATTCATTAGAGCTGTCTGTCCCAAAACTTAGATGTTCAACATATGAGCGAATTCCTTTTAAACGTTATCACGATTTTCATTGTTTTTTATCTACTATTTTTTTTGTTTCTGAACCTAAATCTTATCGTGAAACAAGTTCTAATCCTTTTTGGCAAGCAGTTATGAAAGAAAAATTAGATGCCTTAGAGAAAACTCATACTTGGGATCTTGATGATTTACCTCTTGGAAAATCTATAATAGACTGTAAGTGGGTGTACAAGGTAAAAACTAAATCAAATGGGTCTATTAAGAGATATAAAACCAAGTTGGTTGTAAAAAGATTTACATAGGAGTATGGTATTGACTATGAAAAAACCTTTGCTCTTGTAGCTCGAATGATTTCTGTTAGAACTCTTATAGCTATTGCTTCTATTTGAGGATGGGCTTTATCACAAATGGATATAAAAAAGGCTTTCTTGAATGGAGATCTTTGTGAAAATGTTTATATGAAGCCTTCTCCTAGATTATCTTGCCAAACTAATCAAGTGTGCAAGCTTTGACGAGCTTTATATGGTTTTAAACAAGCACTGCATGCTTGGTTTGAGAAATTCAGAATTAATATGCTTGACTTTAGATTTGTGCAGAGTCCATATGATTCAACATTGTTTATTCATCGATCTGAAAAAAGGTATTGTATTTTTGCTTATGTTGATGATATGGTGATAACTAGAGATGATAACCTTGATATTTAGAATATAAAAAATTATCTTAGCAAAACCTTTGAGATGAATGATCTCTCATCTTGGTATTTAGAATATAAAAAATCATTTTAGCAAAATGTTTGAGATGAAGGATCTTGGTCCATTACGATACTTTTTAGGAATTGAAGTTGATTATTCCTTTTATGGATATGTCTTGTCTCAGGTGAAATATGCTTTTGATCTTATTTCTAAAGCTAGCTTATTTGATAATAAAATTTTTGACACATCTTTTGAAACTAATGTCAAAATAAAAGCTATTGATGGAGAACTTCTCAATGATGCTATTTTGCATAAACAGTTGGTTGGTAGTCTTATATATTTGACAATTACAAGATCTAATGTTAGTCATGCAATTCAAGTTGTAAGCCAATTTATGGTAGCACCTCAGACAATTTACTTTGCTGTAGTTCTTAGGATATTGAGATATTTATGAGGAATGCTACATAAAGGTTTGCTATTCTCATCAACTTTTAAACTTGAACTTCATGCTTTTTTTTTATTCTGATTGGGTTGGTGATGCTAATGATAGACATTCTATAACTGGTTATTGTGTTTTTTAGGTGGTTCTTTGATATCTTGGAAAAGCAAAATGTAGATAGTTATGGCACATTCAAGTGTTGAAGTATGGTATAGAACTTTATCAGACACTATAGCAAAAATTATGCGGTTGTATTGGTTACTTATGGATTTAGGTGTTGACACACCTACACTTATTCCATTCTTTTGTGATAGTAAGAGTTCAATTTAGATTGCTCACAATGATATTTTTCATGGACAGATGAAACATATTGAAATAGATATCATTTTATCAAACAGAAGATATGCAAAGGCATCATCATGCTATAGAATATTTCTTTTGAATCACAAGTGACAGATCTTTTTACAAAGTCTCTTTTAAGTTCACATTTTTGGTATTTAGTTTCCAAACTGAAAATGGTTGATGTTTCATTCGAACCATTTTCAGTTTGAGAGGGTTGTTGAAATGTATTATGTTTAATTGACTTATAAGATTGGGCTTTATTTTTGGATATATCTCATGGGCTTTAAATCCATTTATACATTTGTATATATGTATTTTACATCCATAGAAATAATATTGATTTTTCACTCTTCAAGTCATCACTTTGAACTATAATAAATAATAAAATATTTAATATTGTACACGAAGTATAAATATGTTAACTAATATGGTACTTAAAAAGTTATTTATTCAACACATATTATCATTTAAAACTAACCACATTACGGTGAGTAACACATTAGTTACAAATTCATAATTTAAGTACTAAATTAAAAATTTTAAAAATTCAAATACCATATTAAATATTTTACTATAATTTAAGAACCATTCATGACATTAATTTTTTTCCCTTGTATTTTCAAATTGGACACAATAATGAGTTTTGGTGCAATATTTATTATTTTGGTGTAAAAAAAATATGATTGGTATTACATTGGTTAAAATATTAAAATAGGTCAGTAGTATTTAATTAAATTAATATGCGGATCCTGTCAAAAAATATAAAAGAAAAAAAAACTAATGGTGATGAATTTGAAGGTTAACTACACAAACATAAGCTTTTTTTTTTCTTATTTAATTATTACCTATTGAGGTGTAAATTAACCTTGACAATTTCTT